CACAGCGTCTCTGCCGCCTGCCAGGGTCAGCACTCAGCCTGCTCCGGGGAGCTCCCCAGGGTTCTGCAGGGAGAAGCTGTGAGTGGTAGGAGCAACCTCTGTCAGGGCAGGACAGGGTCTTTCTGCTGTTCAGAGGGTGTGGCGTGGGACAGAGCTTCTCATAGCTCCAGATCACACTAGAAAACTTCTAAGGAGATGTTTCAAGAGGCAGGGTTTACTATAAAGATAAGGAGATTTCCTGGGTCTGGGTTTTCTGTTTCCTACTCTGAGAGTAGGGGACAGGACAGGGAGCAGGGGGCAGTGGGAGGGAAAAATAAATAGAAAAGGACCTGTTAAGTTATAAAAAGCCATGGAGACCCTTAAGTTGTAATGTTGGTGGTCAGTAGGTCTGCTAATAGCCTCCTAAAGTGCCTTCCGCCACTCCTCTGCCTACCGACAGCACCAGCATCACCTTTGCTGGACCCATCAGCTTATTCTGACCTTTTGTACCTCCCAACAGGAACATGCACCTTCTAAACAGGCAGGTTTCTGGAGGCCCAACGTGAATGCACAGATGTTGGGATGGGGTCTGTGAGCAGGGAAGAAACATGAGACAGGGAAACACCTCCCAGGAAGAAATTTCCCAGCAGCAGGGATATAATCAGGAAATGAGAGGAAATGAAAACCTGAAATGCTGTGGGAGGGAGGATATGGAAAGTTCCATATCATGCCCTCCAATGGAACCCCCTTCCTCTGAGCAAGCCCCCTGGCCTCGTCTCCCAGACAGAAAAGCCTCTGCCCTCAGGGCTGGGGGCTCCAAGACGTGAACCAGCTCCTCTGCAGCCAGAGCTCCAGCAGAGCCGTGGGGCAGCTCTCCAGCCCCGTGGCCATTTCCCTCTGCAGAGCCCAGGGGCTGAGAGCAGCTGCCCGGCAATGGTGGTGCCTGGGAGGTGGCGTGCAGAGCTGGGGCAGGGTAACGCTGCCTGAGGGCCCGCCTGCCTCTGCCCTGGCCTCTCTGAGCCAGACCCGCACTGGATATTTACGTGTGCCTCCACTGGTCAGAGCTATTGTGATTGTTATTTCATTCTTTTTGCCAGGCTCTCTGGGGATGGGAGTTTCAGAAGCCGAGTCAGGTCCAAGTGTGTCCATGGAATGAAGAGCCCAAGCTTTTCCCCAACCCACTGGGCTGTGAAAAAAGTAGTCTGTGTGGCTGGGGAATGATCTGGGTCTCCCTTACTGAGCTATCTTAAACAGGACATTTGGGTATTGGACTTCTTGGGGTGTCCTTCCAAGCTTTAAGCTTCCAGGATGCAAGTCTTAGAGCATCCTTCTCTTATCTGAATGCCCCATGGAGAAGCGCAGAGATGTTACAACTGAGGAAATGTCGTTGGGTTTGTGAAATGAACCACATGTGTCCCTAGCGAAAGGCGGGTGCTGAGACCTCAAGAAGCCACATGAAGAGACCTGGCTGCTCATGGTACACACAAGCAACGCACAATGAAGCTCAAGTCAGGAACCTGAATGAAAGTTTCTTTTAGGGAAGGAAAAAGTGTGGAATTGTCACATGCAGGACAGTCTACAAGTAATTGCATAGGCTTTTCTCAGAGAAGCCTGTCCTAACTTGTCCACTGTTCTTTCCTCTGTGAGCAGTGCCCCCTGCCCAGAGGCAGCAGATGTCCAACAGTAGCTCCATCACCCAGTTCCTCCTCCTGGCCTTCGCAGACACACGGGAGATGCAGCTCTTGCACTTCTGGCTCTTCCTGGGCATCTACCTGGCTGCCCTCCTGGGAAATGGCCTCATCATCACCGTTGTAGCCTGCGACCACCGCCTCCACACCCCCATGTACTTCTTCCTCCTCAACCTCTCCCTCCTCGACCTGGGATCCATCTCCACTACTCTCCCCAAATCCATGGCCAACTCCTTCTGGGACATAACAGCCATCTCATATGTAGGATGTGTTGTCCAGCTCTTTATGTTTGTATTTTTGCTTTCAGCAGAGTATTTTCTCCTCACTGTCATGTCCTATGACCGCTATGTTGCCATCTGCAAACCCCTGCACTATGGGACTCTCCTGGGCACCAGAGCTTGTGTCCACATGGCAGCAGCTGCCTGGGGCAGTGGCTTTCTCAGTGCTGTGCTACACATGGCCAATGCATTTTCACTCCCCCTCTGCAAGGGCAATGCCTTGGATCAGTTCTACTGTGAAGTCCCCAAGATCCTCAAGCTCTCTTGCTCAAACTCCTATTTCAGGGCAGTTGGGCTTATTGTAGTCAGTGTCTGTTTAGCACTTGGCTGTTTTGTTTTCATTGTGGTGTCCTATGTGCAGATCTTCAGGGCTGTGATGAGGATTCCCTCTGAGCAGGGACGACACAAAGCCTTTTCCACGTGCCTCCCTCACTTGGCCGTCGTCTCTCTGTTTCTCAGCACTGGCATATTTTCCAACCTGAAACCCCCTTCCACCTCTTACCCATCCCTGGACCTGGTGGTGTCATTTCTGTACTCAGTGGTTCCTCCAGCAGTGAACCCCATCATCTACAGCATGAGGAACAAGGAGCTCATGGATTCCCTGAGGAAACTGATGACTGAGTTTTTTCAGAGGAAATGAACTGTCTACCTTCTTCTGCATATTACTCATAATGTAGCTCCTCATAGGCCCAGCCTGTTTTCTGACTGACTTTTTTTTTTCCTACCTGTGATCGTGTTTTCCACAAAGGAATGTCACTGGTCCCACCATTTCTACCTCAGTATCTATTAGTCTTGTGTGACCCGGAGACTTTCAGAAGCCACAATCTCTGTGCATTTAAATAAAATAGAGTACACTCCACTGACTTGCTTGCCCAAGATCCTTCCTCAGACCTTCTCTGGAACTGCAGTAGCAGTGCACGTGTGCAGAGGTGGAGGGGAAAAAAGTCCCAGCACAGCAGCACAGCCAAGGAGAAATGGTTCTTGCTTTTTCAAAATCTGCTCTTTCCAACTCCACACTCTCCTTCTGAGCCCTTCTGTTAGTTTAAGTTCTGAGTGCTCCTGTAGCTTGGTCACAGTCCTGCTTTGAGAAGTCCTGTGGCCACAAGCTGGCACTGGCAATGGGCATTTTTGTGACAGAGGTGGCCTCCATAACAGTATTTCTGTCATAAATTTTTCTATCATTGCAATTTTTATTTAGCCAGCCTGCCTTCTATGTCACCCATCAATGGGAAATAAGTCATAGCTGATACTGCACTGTGGTACTCTAAAACTCCTACCTTCGCGGCAAGTGGATACAGTCACTGCACAATCCATGGCCTCGAGGCTCTGTTCACACATTCTGGTGCAGAATGTGAGATTTCACATTCGAACTTTCTCACTTCACTGACAGGTGTGTGAGAATCGCACATGGCTGCCAGATTTTCGTATACCTACATAACATATGGTATGTATTTTAAGATATTTGTAACAAACACATTTGGCATTCACTTTCAGGTTCTTTGGCCCAAGCTTCAAACTACAAATTATTTAAAAATAATACAAAAAAAACCAAAAGAAAAAGTGTTCATGTTTTCTGCCAAAACATGACTTTTTTCTTCCATAGTCACATGGACTACACTGACTATCATGTCATCCACCGTCAGTGCCTCTTCATCTCTCCAGTTCATTATTGCCAATGAGTTGGCATACGATGCGATGCGCTCCGTACCACCTTCCGCCACATGAGTCGTGTGCACCGGACTCCATCTGGATCTTTGGGGAAGTGGTCATGGTTCAGGTCATTATAAACCACTTCCAGGACAACTAATTCCCTCAGGTACTGGGTACCTCTCACCACGGTGGTCCAGTTGCCTAGGCAATATATGACATTGTCCTTGAAGGGATATCTTTCCTTCATGGCTGACAGGAGTCGCCTCCAGAGGCTGAGGACTTGTGCCCCTTTTCATAGAATCATAGAATGTTTTGGGTTGGAAGGGACCCCTAGAGGTCACCTTGTCCAACCCCCCTGCAGTGAGCAGGGACACTGCTAACCAGATCAGGTTGCTCAGAGCTGCGTCCAACCTGGCCTGGAAAGTTTCCAGGGATGAGGCCTCCACCACCTCTCTGGGAAACCCCTGCCAGTGTTTCACCACCCTCAGTGTAAAGAATTTCTTCCTTAGATCCAGTCTAAACCTACCCTGCTTCAGTTTAAAACCATCACCCCTTGTCCTGTCACAGCTGGCCCTACTAAAAAGATTTTCCCCATCTTTCCTATGGGCTCCCTTTAAGTACTGAAATCAGGTCGCAATCAGGTCTGCCCGCAGCCTTCTCTTCTCCAGGCTGAACACCCCCAATTCTCCCAGCCTGGCCTCATAGCAGAGGGGCTCCAGCCCTTGGATCATTTTAGTAGCCCTCCTCTGGCCCCGCTCCAACAGGTCCATG